CATCGCAGTGTGGACGGGTGCAGGGTTAATTCGATGTAACGGCGCTAACTTTGACATAAATGCCTAGTGTAGACCAGGCCTTAAATTCTTTGCTTGAAGATGACCCCTCCTTTTCCATACACACATCTTTCCCAGTGAAAACCAGCCCATTCTGAGCAAAAGAGGGCTTCAGAATCTCTCATTTGAAATTCAGCATTTGCATTTGTCCATCTTTGCAGTTGGAAAATAGCCATTTCATTTTATAGTGAAAAATGAAATCTACGGGACACAAAATCAACAGAAACAAAATGGTACAAATTTTCATGGGAACTTTTCACCAGTTATACGCAACACTGGGGGAGGGCGGAGTTGTTTTATTTCTTTTCCTATGGTGGAAACTTATGCCTCTTCTTGCATAGGTGAGAATGCCAAACAAGCTGTGAAATGGTGCAATTCCATTGGGATAGGGAAGAGGCAGCATGCAGGCGTCCATATAGTGAGTTCACACATGTGTTATGCAGAAACCTGATCCTGCAAGGTGTGCAGCATCTCCTGGGAGAGAATCAATACCCACCATTCCCATTGACTTCACTCAGATTCTCAGCAACTTGCAGGATCACCCGCAGGATTCTATTTGCATCAGCTCAGAGGGATGTTATGGTGGTTGGAGCAGGTGCAGGGGAGGCTACTGTATTAACAGCTGAATTTTAGACTCTTCACAGCCCAGTGGGGAGGATTCCAAGCCCCTTGGAGAAACAGTGTAAGCCTGTTTACTCAAGCTTAGCACTTGGGAAAGAACTTGGCTTCCTGATAAGATTATTTACAGTAGCACTGAAAACACATTGACACATCTTGCATCTGTATTAAAAAATGAAAAGTAATAACCTCAAGGAAAATAAATCCAGGAATGAAATCAACAGAGATCCAATTACCAACTGCTGTTTAAAGTGATTGGCTGAAAGAAGAAAAAAAATCAAATTAACTTTAATATGATAACCATTTGTAATTGGATAGTATGTATACAGTGTCCATGGGACAGTGTGGGATTCAAATGGCCAAACTGGTGGTACTTGGAGATCAGTTGCATGGAAAGCAAGAATAAATTGCTTTTATGGGATTCTTGGTTGCACTGCTCTATTAATTTAATAGCAGACTCTGGCTTTATTATAGTAAATAACATATTCATTAAAATGTTTAAATACTCAAATAGAGATGGAGGAGACATTAGCAAGTACTCTGCCAGCATAATTAGCAAAGCAATGGCATAATTGCAGTGGGCTGGTGAATGCTAAGTGGATTATTTTGGTGTACTCTTGTACTGTACATCCGTAGCATGGAGTTGAGGAGCCAAGACCACCATTAACAGAGAGGAAGTGTGCTATCGAAATACAGTCAAGCTGAGGAGTGACTGCAATCCATTTAGAAAGCCAAGAAGAATGTCTGCTACTTTGAGATGGCTATTCCACTGATGAAATGTCTTTTCTTGTCTCCCAAGATGGGACTATAGGTCAGATGTTGCACACTGACACAGCTTCACCCAGTTGGTTTTCCCCAGCTAAGGATCTGTCCCTATATCTTCATTTTATAATACATTTCATGACAATTGTATGAGAGAGCATTAAGAAACATACTGAACCCCAAACATACTGAAAATCAAAGGCCAGATTCCTTTCTCCATTGGACAGATTTTAGGTCTCTTGTCGTGGTCCAGCTGATGAAGGAAACTTCCTGGGTAGGAGGTAGGAGAATCCTTGGGGATTTAGGATTAGGACTCCTACACCACCTCTCCTCTTTGCCCAACACGAAGGGGGTATTGTCTGGAGAATAGTCAGGTGCTTTCCTGTGCCCCAGTGACTCAAGCCATTAGAATGGGCCATGGGACAGTTGTAGATGATGCAATTTAGAGCAACCTTAAAGCTGTTATAATCTGTGAGAGGAGACCCACCTGGTATTGAGTCAGATGAAGAACAGGAGTCTACAAAGGCATATTAGAATAATTTCTCCCCTACTATGAAGGCAGTCTGTGGCCCTGTGCACACCAAGACACAGGGTGCCCTACTGTGCCATGACACCATGTGATATTTGAAGAGGTGGTGGCAGTGAGCCTGCTTTCTCTTGACAGAGAAGCAGAGGTGGAGGCAAAAGCCCCTTTCTTCCCCCAGAAGTGAAATCAGGGGCCTCTCTTCCCATCAGGAGTAGCAGAGGTGGCACCAGAGAGCCTCACAAAGGGAGGGGTGGCTCTCGCCTCCTCCCCACTTCCCCAGGTAGCTAGACCGTATCTGTTTGGGTGGGTGGGACAGACCCACTGCACTCTTCTCCTCTTACTACATAGAATCCTCTGCTGGGTGGTACTGGTGAGGATCCCAAAGTAGTGGGTCTTAGAGTTAACACCCCATTGAGATGTATGGGACAGTTCTCCTCAGAACTATTGTATCAGGCAACCATCACTGTAGTGGTTACACATGGGTCATATTTTAACCTCAGAGTTATTGTATTAGGCAACCATCACTGTACTGGTTACACCTGGGTCATATTTTAACGTTTTTCTTCTCAAAGATCAGGCATAGAAACTTACTTCTTAAAAATGAAAGCTGAGATTTTAATGTAAAATAATCATGTCTCCAGAAGCTGGGGTCCTTGAAATATACAAGCCTAGCGCATCTTAATCTGATCCTGTTTCCAATCATGCTCTGAGCACCAACTGGCCAAATTGCAGAATGCTCACCTAATAAATTATTTGGAGCTGGTGCTGGGGTTTCCCTACATCTGCCTGACATTAGTTCATAGACTTAGTTTTTGAACATTTCCCCTATGACACTTCAGTAAATCTTTGCCTACTTTCTTTAATTTGCTAAATGGATCCTGGTTACAGCAATGGCTGATGCCCAAATAAGTGTTGGGCCTGGGATTAGCAAATAGATAATTAGATACTCCACTACAACACTTTTTTTGACGCTCCTTCTCACACAAAAAGATTTTTCCAATAAAATCAGCCACCAGGCTAGCTGATCTGAGGCCATCCCCACAATACTCCTCTACTGTAGCTTCCACATTGCTCCCCCTGTTCTCCTAAAAAGCAGAAGGCAGCTGCCCCTGAGCTGTGCTTCCCCCACTTCCTTTCCCATCCTTTCTCCAGGTCACAGGCCTGTAACTGCTGCCTCCCTGGCCAGCTCCTCATTCCTCTGCCTTTACTATCCCCCAGTTGAGCTCCACTTGAGGAGGGGACTGAGTTCTGCATTGAGGCTGCTCCTGTGCTCATACTCTTTGGGGTTAACTTTCTTTAGTTTCAAAGAGGACTGAAAAGGCAGCGTGTGAGTGTGCACTGATCTCAGGGCTGCTCTATACTTTCAATGAAAGGAGAAGCTTTCTTATGGGCCGGAGGCTACCAAGCTCACCTGCTCCTTTCCCCTGCCTGCACTCTGTGATGCTGCTGTACTGAAGGTGCCAGACACTCCTGCTCTCTCCCTCCCTTGGCTGCAGTCTATCTTGCAGCACTGAAGAAACTAGATGCCTCTGCCCCTTCCTTCCTTCCTTCCTTCTGCTCACCCCTGCTGTTTTCTCCATTGTGCAGCTGGAGAGAAGAGGGGAAAGAAAGGCAGCTGTCAAGCTGAGGTTTTGTTTGTTTAAAGAAGTAAAGGAGAGGAGATTTAACAGGTAGGGTGAGCCCCATTAGGCCATCATTACTCAGGACCACTGTCTAGTCACCAAAGACACAATCTTCAAATGTGGGCGTCTAAGTATATAGTTGGGCACTTGGGTATGAATGGAGAGGCCTGATTTTCAGAGGTGCTAAGAACCCATAGCTCCAATTGGCCTCAATGTAGACTATTTGCAGTAAGTAGCAAGCATTCTGGGCCAAATCCTCAGCTGGTGTAAATTGTCATAGCTCTATTTACTCCAATGGAACTACAGTGATTTACACCAACTGAGGATCTGACTCAATGTCTGTTATTAAGTGTTTACAGGATCAGACCCTTAGCCTATATTGAAAATTGCCATTTTATTTTCAGACTTTATTTCCCAAACAAGGATGTCATGTTAAGCAGGAAATCTAAATCCATGTCTGGGAGAGTTGGTAAGTGATTTTCAGATATTCTCTGCTTTGCTGGGCTTGGCTGTTGTGTGAAACAGTGCATGAAACTGACTGGACATGTGACCCATGTGAGCACCAGAGAAAATTTTCATTTGGCAGCTGTCACAACTTGCTTGCTTTCTAACACAATAAACTCCATACCTCTTAGAACAACTTCCTAAGAGCACAGCACATACCAGCTGCAAGAATACATGGCAACTTGGAAATCATCCTCCACTCTTCAAAAAGCAGGAATATAAGGGTAAGAAAATAACATATTTACTCCTCTTCAAAATGATCCGCACAGTGGAGTTACCAACAAGGACGAATTTGGCTCGTTTTCTGTTAGATAACAATGCCAGTAAATCTGTTTGCAACTTGCCTCTATCCCTCACACTGTTGTGTGACTATTGTATCAAGGTCTCTGTTGAGGAATCTGTCAGTCTCTGACCTAGTCATTGCCTGCAAATTTATGGAATGGGGGAAGTAAACATAATGAAGAAACTAAAGCTCAGAGCCTCTGATGCAGGGAGGCTGATTTGCAGCAGACCACATTCATGTAGTCTTTAAATTGGCTTGGTTGGTTCTGGAACAGCAGTGTGGGCAACTCTCATGATTTTATCATAAGTCTTATGCTAGTTGGTATTTTTCTTAAAGCCCCAGCTCCTGGAGGCAAATGATTGCATGAGAATCTTAACTTACATTTTTTTAAAGTGAGTTTCTAGTCCTCCTGGATGCAGAGAAAAACCTGAGTGCACCCTGAAGTTCCAGAAACAAGAAGCTTAAATAATAAATAATAACAAAAAACTAAAGCATATTTAAAACAAACAAACAAACAAAAACTCTTGTTATTTTTGAAAGCAGTTTCATTAATTTGGAGAGCCTGACTCATGATTTTTGAATGTTTGTTATGAGATCGACCCAGAGTAAGGGTAATCCTTTGGTAACGTACAGCCCCGTGTACAAGCTTTTATGCAACTCTATCTCCCTGTTGCTATAGCGGAGGAAGGGGATTGTGGGTGGAGAAAGGGGAGTGTGGCCAGAATGCCTGTTAACCATGTCAAACTTCAGATGTGTTTTCAGTTTCTTGTGGCTTTTTGTAGCTAGTGTAATTCATCTGCTTTAATTGCACAGGGAGGAAGCAAGGGAGGACAGGTTTGAATAGAGGTTGCTCTGAGATCAATGGAGTGCAAAGAAGAGTTTTAAGCCAGTTTTTGCATATACCATCCCTGATCTGTGCTCTGTGCATTCCACAATATGGCTCATAATTTTTATTTAGCTTGACAATGCCAGTGGAAGAGAAAGACAGACACAGACACAGACACACACACATCTAGTTGCTTCTGGTTTTCATATCAAAATCTGAATCTGTTTAGTATGTTAAAGTAGTAGCAGTTGGGCTGAAAAGTGTCTGCAGAAATCTATCATGTTTAGTTTACAATTCACTATGGGCGTTTGTTTCCCTCTGACAGCTGAGTTTGGCCCAATCAGAGCTTTTGATGTACTTACCTGTCATTTATAGGAAGCAAGTCTCTATTGATTTCCTCAGCAGATGTCAGTCACACAGCCCATCAATAATGCTGGGAAGACATCGTGCCCGAACAGAAAAAGAAACATGAAAGGGAAAACACGTAAGGACGCTTCTAATTTGCCAGCAAGTAGCTCTCCCTGGTGTAAACTCAGAAATCTGTGACACTTAGAACATGGTTCAGGATGATTCATTTGAAAAGCCACATAGTGTGTAGTGGTTTTAAAAGGATTTAATATGAAGAAATGGCTAATGTATTTATATTTTTCATCATCAGGTACCTACAAATGAGTTATCATAAAGTGCATACAGGGAAGAATCCAATGATTCCATTTTCTTCCTTCTGTAGACAGTTACAAAACTCCAGTACTTAATCCTTATGGTGTAACAATTCCTTCTGTCATTGTGAGAAATTGTGTAGGTGTGTACTCCCTTGTAAATTCAGAGCACGGCACTGTGACCCTTACAGCAGGACAAATGAGTTAAGGCTCTGTCAAACAAAGGCAGAAACATTCAATTGCTGACATAAGTTTACTATTTTGTATAAATGTGTTTGTAGTCTGGCACCAGTATATTGTAACAAGTCTGTGGCCCTCTACCACTTCATAGTTCTCGCTAAGCTGCACACTATAGTTACTCAGAACTTCACGGCAGCAGAAGGGATGGAACTCAGATCTTACTGCAATGAAAGCTTGGATCCTTATTGTGTTAGCTAACGGAGAAACGATCAGCAATTAGCAATACAGGTTCTGTGAAACACAACCAAGCAGTTCTTAATTTTCCCAGTAGAGGGCAGTGGCCTTTCACACTAGTCAGTTTATTACACTAAGTTCCTTTTTTTGTTGTTAGTGTGAAAGATAGTTTAGTCTGAGTTATAGGTTATCATTGCTAAGGTGATCAATGCTACAACTGACTATAACAGGTGGGATTTTGAGGTGGCAAGCCCCCAAAAGTTGGAATACCTACATCTTCCATGGAAATGGGGTCCATATTGTTTTCATTGTATGGAATTGTTAATATTTTATAAAAGCAGCGAAGAGTCCTGTGGCATCTTATAGACTAACAGACGTATTGGAGCATGAGCTTTCGTGAGTGAATACATGCATCCGACGAAGTGGGTATTCACTCACGAAAG